TAACGAGACTGAATAGTTTCTTTTATTATGGTTAAAAAAAATATTAACAATTTGATTCACAATTATTTTTTCAATAGACGAGATAGGGTCAATTTAAAACGCTTATAAAAATAGAAAAAAGAAAGAATATTGCCAAGAGATATTTCTAATTAAAAGAATTAATCATTTATTAATATTTTATAATTCATTATTATTGTAGCAATAATTTGAGCACCATTTACATTTAAAAATTTTGCGTCTATTTTATTTTATGTTATATATCACATTTACGAGAAAGCATCCAGCATATTATCCACTATTAACATTAATTTAAAATAGTTTTATATATTTTTTATTAATACTTTATTCATTTAAAATAACACAAACTAATTATGAAAATTAATACAATTATTTATCGTAAACATTTATTTTGATGATAGATTGAGAATCAAGTTAAAACAGCTTTATTTTAATTACATATTAATTATTTATATATAATATAAGGTTTGTTGACTATAATGAATAAAATATACATAAATATCAAGTTTTTTTTCATGTATTTTTATCAATCGCATTATGTAGTAAATAAAAATTACAAATTAAACATAGCAAAAATTATAAAATAAAACAGTAATCTCTTGGACTATTACTTCAAACTAATGCTTATGTTAGAAACAGCATTCACAAATGTGCTTGAACAATATATGTTCTTTGTACTTTCTATAGTTCAAGGGTATGAAATCATAAATTTAAAAAAAAATAATTAGACCAACATAGAAAATAAAATAATACTTTATCAAACGAATTAATAATAAATACATTCGTACATAATATTAATAAATATAACAATAAGTTGCAAAGTAACATAAAAATGAGGAAATCAAAGACTTCATATATAGTTTAAATAAAAATAAACTTCTTTGCGTATCTCAATATAATATCACGAGAGAAGCACTATTTACAGATACGTATGTTAATATTAATCAAAATTAAACCTCTACATTTTTATCCAAGATATTTTTCCATCTTAAAGTTTAAAGATATAGAAAATATATCTGGATAATAAAACGTTCACAACATTGAACTTTTCTGCTTACTCAACATATTTTTGTTCAAAATTTCCATAAAAGATTTAAGATAACAATTCTATTTCAGCTTGTATATTTTCCCGCGCTTGTTCTTCGAACTTTTCTCGAAACTCTTTAGTCGCAAAAATATTAGGAATTTGTACAAAATTCTGTAACACCTGTAAATAACAGAAGAATGAAATAGAATTAATGCATCAATAAGTTAAATGAATACTGTACCTTTAATCGCAATGCAGTGTACATAGGTTCGCTCAAAAAAGCATACTCTCCACGAATTTTTCCCCTATATTCTGCATAATTTTCAGGCAAATAACCTAAAACAGCCATATCTAAATCTAGAAAGTAATGAGCATCTTCGCTACCAAATGCACCTCCAACTTTATGAGCTTCTGTACTATGTGTAGCAACAACCTTAAGTAAAGCGCATGTTTCTTCCCTTAATTCTGAATCCTAAAATAATAGAAAAAATACATCAAGAAATTTGTAACACGTTCTTTTAATTATTTACTTAATAATTAGATATATATTTTTTCTTACTACGCTAATACCAGCTTCATCAGCAAAAGCATTGAAATGTTCTAAATTTTTAATCTCTTCGTCTATGACTTTAGGATCATATTCAAAGCTACAAATAGAAAATAAATAATCAATTAAAAATAATTTATATAAGAAAAATATTAATATCATTCTCACACTTAGGTAGATCATACTTTTGAAAAAAAAGTGCGAGAAGCAAAGCTTGCGGATTCTTCAAATTATCTTTTATTTCATAATATTGATTCAACTTTTCGCAAAGCATCTCTATGTTATGATAAGTTCTTTTCTCTTCCGAATAAGCCTCTTTTAATTTATCAAACCACAAGTCACAAGCATCATTGTCCAAAGCCTCGGTTGCTTCTTTCCAACTATCTTCAAGTGATGCCATTGTTTCTATGAAAAAAAAAAGAAAAAACAACAAATTTATGATCAATAACAAAAAAAAATGCAACCTATATTTAATAATATTATTTTCATTATATTATATATATATATATTATATCTGATAGAATACAAATGTTTATTATTTTTCTATGAGATTGTTCTTAATTGTTTGTTTGTTTATTTGTAATTTACTACTGTCATAATTTTTTTGACAGATGTCTATCTAAAATAATAAGAAAGAGAAAGACACACTTTATCACTAATTATAACATAGAATTTTAACTAAAGTTAATCTCGTTATTGAATTTAAATAAAAATTATATTACATACTCACGATATGCTTATTAAAACGTTCAATATTTAATTGTTTAAAGTCATTTAATGCAATTATTTCTTAAGATTAAAATGACGTTAAAAGTACATCGTTGATAGCGCGAATGTCAAACTTGACTGAATCTGACCCAAGCCATAAAAGATCGCACTCACCATCTTTGCCAATTGATTTTATAACAAATACATGTATCTATATCATTTTTAAAAATCTTATAATTTATATTTCTCAAATATTATTTTTATTATATAATAAATAATTCTATTATATTTATATTTATAAGAAAAAGATTTAATTATTAAATCTCATTCTCGCAAATTGCAAATCAGCCTATAATGTTAAAAACAAAAAATCAGATTAACGCATAATAATTTATATTCAATTGATATTATTGTTTGATACTTTTATTTATATCTATTAAACAAATAACTATTAAATATTNTTTTTTTTTTTTTTTTTTTATAAAAGGAAAAGAAATAAATCTAATTATTATAACACGTATATCATACACGAAATGTGATACACTTGGGAAAATAAAGTTGCACCTTTATCTATGCTTGATCGAATTTTTCTCGAATTATGTGCATCGAAAATATTATTCAATTTACTTGTATGTATATATTAAGAGAAACATAATTATATTAATATTATCTTACTTTTATTTTATTTTCTCTCGCGATTGTTATAGATACATATTTTGTAATATTAATTACGTTACTTATCCATATGTTAACGTTAAAAATACGAGTATCAAGTAAAGAATTGTTTATTATTATTTAAACAACAATTTGTCGCGTAATTATCATCGATATGTGTAACGATATTTATATTATTTCGATTATTGATTTTCTGATATATTAATCTTTGGAAATATACGTACAGGGGCTGTTTATATATGCATGTACAGAATGTAGTCTAATATTAGGGGCACACCTACATTTAGTTGTTTACTCGACCAACAGATGTCATTTTTTGACATTTCCAATATGGCTTCTATCACGTGACACACTTTGACAGGAATGACGACAACTTAATTTTTATTTAATGACTACTACTACCTGCTCATTACAGCTCTAAGAGAAACCGATACAATTTATTATTAAAGTTTAATTATTAATTAAATTATTATTTGTTTATATATAAATAGATTATAGTGTGAGCGGTCGTCTGTGACATAATTATTCTCAAGAACCTGATGAAACTTCTTATAGAAATTTATATAACAATTAGTTAGATATTAAATCATATGCGTTAGGATAAAACAAGAAAAATGAATGTGATTGTATTGTAATATTAAGATTAATACGATTAAGTAATAACTATAGTAATGATTCTTTTTCATATATAGCATTTATATATACATAATATTCATTTAATATTTGTAATGTATATATTACTACAATAATTATATAATTTACTGAAAAAGAATTAACATAAAAGTATATAATAATATTGATACATTCATGCTAATACCAACATACATTAATTTATTTCAAATTACAATATTTTAATGTCTTCCTAGAGAAAAAGAAAGTATGTGCGAAACACACACTCAAAAAGATAATTTAATAGAAGAATATCATTAACATTACTTAACAGAAAGGCTGCATATTTTAAATGGTAATAACATGTTTATAAATCAATCAAAGTTTCCGTGGTCTTCCTCTTTTTCTCAATGCCATGAGCTTTCGTGTAGGTTGCCGAGTACTTCGTAACTTCTTTTGCAATGCATTCATTCCGGCATACAATTTGACATTATTATGCATTTTTAGATGACGTATATAAAGTATTCTTGATTTAATTAATTTCTTACAAATTTCACATCGACGAATCTGCTTCTCTATTAATAACAAATTAAGCAGATAAAGAATATTCTGCTTGTGCACAGATATACATAAGATATAAAAAATGCATTTTAATTTCAAAATAAATCAAATAAATCAAATAAATATTGACATTATTTTACCTGGTCTCTTTGTATCGTGCTTCAGATAATGCGTACTTAAGGAAGCTGCACTTGAAAACCATCTTCCGCAATCTTTGCAACATAATTTGTTAGTTTCCCACGAATGAGCGTGATCCCTTTTTTTTTTCGTTCTTTTATGTATTCTCACGTTTTCTTTAGTAACGTCCATGGAATAAGATTCGTCGGAATCTGGCTCCCCAGAAGATTTACTAGATATACGTCTTTTCCTCTGCGAGTGTTCCAAACGCACATGGCGAGCCAGTGCAACTACAACTTCAAATTTTTCTTGACATATTTTACACGCATACAATTTGGTGTTTTTTTTTTTATCAACATTATTTACATGATTAAGATTTTGGGAATCTAATTTGACTACGTCGGATGATGATTTAGAACAGACACGCGAATGAGTATCCAAAGCTCTCTTCTGTCTGAACCGTCTTGAACAAAATTCGCATTGCATAAGAGTTCCCGTATGCTTGGAAACATTTTCTTTTACTTCATCTTCAGAATCCCCTACCATTATTATATCATTTTCTTTGTCGCTAGAATATTTGTCTTTATTTTCGTCTATAGTTATTTCAACAATATTCTTTTCTACCGGCGACATATTTTCATCTTCATCAAGATCTATATTAATAATCTCGATAACTCTTTGTTTCATTCTCATCAAATTTTTCGAATTATTCCTTTTACCATGATATTCAGAAGGCGAAGTAAATCTTCTTCTTTTACCTCTTGATTTTGTACTCTTGTCATTTTCTGTTAGCAAAGATGCCGGTTGAATGATTATTTCTGAATCTTCTCGGTTTACAGAAGTTAATTGTTGCTTACGAGGTCTCTTCGCTTTATACTCTGTATGTATTGGTTTAGATTGGCTACATTCTTCTGTATTTTTGTTTGCATTTAATCTATCATCATCTGACTCTGTTCCTGTTAGATAAAAAGAAATGTACATTCATATATACATTGATAAGCAAAACTGAACACACTTTATACAATTTTTTAAAATGTTTACATTGATTACAAAAAAATACAAGAATTGGAAATTTTGAAATATATTAATTTGTTTTCAAACATGTGTGTGTAAAAAGCATGTTCAGTTTTGTTCATCGCTTATATACAATATTTTAGCCTAGTTAATATTTGTATTTTATAAAATGTTTGTTGATTGAAAAAAAAGAGTTAAAATACCATTAGAAATAATCATTTTAGAAGATGACACATCTAATTTAACAGATTCGTCATCTACTTTTGTTTTCGTGCATGACTTCTTAGAGAAAGTTCGTCGTTGGTGTTTCATATTTTTGAGGGTCGATTGAACTTCATCAAATGTTAATTCTGACTCAGATTCATTGTCTTCAAAAAAAATATATTGCACCGTTGATTGTACTAATATTTCCTGTTCATTATTGTCTTCGTCGACAGAGGATGAATCTATCATAAATATACTTAAAATTATAATATGAAATAGAAATAATGAAAATCACACAGAATGTGTATGTAATAATTGACAATTATATGTAAACTGAGATATTATTAAATACCTAACATCATAGTACAATCGTCCATCGTTACATATGTTACATTTGAGTCTTCGGATTTAAAATCCATATTTAACGAAACGTCATGTTTTGCATCATTTTTTTTTGACAAACACGATCTTTTAATCCATGGCGTTTGATCTCCTTTTATTTGATAGTTATCGTGAACTATATCTTTAGCAATATCATCTTCCGCTTCTTGATTTAGTAGACATTCTTTAGATAATAGTACAGAAGATTGTGTAGTTAATAAGTGTTTTTTTATCTGTGATGGTTTTTTCACCGTTCTTACAGCACCTTCGCCTATCAATCTTTCCACATCTACTCTATAAATATAATTGTCTAATAAATCTAATATGTCTGATATGTTTATGTGAATGATTTCTATATACAATAAGTTATATCCATAGTTAGTTAAATGTCATACATCTAACATACATACTTCATAAGGAATTGGAAATTTGTTGGAGGTTCACCAGACTCGTCGTAAAGAGAGACAGCAAAAATATCCTCAGAATCTTCAACTGCATAAAGTGCTAATTGTTGACCAGCAGCAGTAACAAACATTGCTATCGTTTCATCGTCACCCTGAGATTCATCGTCGGTATTATTACAGTAATCAATCGTAGATACTTCCTTCATCATATTAGGTAACTATTTTAATATATAGGAAATAATAAATAAAAATTATTATACAATTGAAATCATTCTTATGTGCTTGCATATGTATATATATATTTATAAAAAGAAACAATGTTTTAGTTGTAATTCACTTACCATGGTAGATTCTTCGTCATTAATTTGACTTAAATTATCTTTAATATTAGAACTTGTGGAAGAAATTATAGAACAAGTTTCCACACAATCCGTTATTTCTTTGTTGCATGTATGAATATTGTCGTCAGCAGATGTTGATATATTTTCTAAAGAACAATTACCATCTAGAGAATTTCTTTGATGCAAGTCCACATTTCCATTAACTTCTACTTCTTCTCCAACAACCTATGTAACATTTTTTTAACTCGATTTTTATTATTAAGATACGATTTCTCTTGGAAATTAGTAAAAACAAATGAATGACAACTTTTCTCATTGCTACATCGTTAATATTATTAGCAAAAAAATAAAATTCTACTGTAAAATGTCAATATGATAATGAGTAATATATTTTTATATTTACCATGTTGTCATCCACGGTAGTACATTTGTTCAATATTACAAATTCGGTATCATTTCCATAACTTTCGGTGCAGGTTGTATTAATGAGTTCTTCTGATGTTATTTTTTCATAAATATTTATGCCTTCCATAATGGAAAAATCTTATTTATTGTACATCCTTTCATTAACTTCTGAAACTTGTGCTTACTAAGCAACACGTTAAATATTTATCTTAACATTAAACACGTGCTACTTATATATGTTTATATGCATATAAATTAAAAAATTTATCGACAGACTTGAGAAAAATGTAGATAATTGTACATTTTGTTAGGTATAACGTCATATATGTAAAATATAACAGGGATATATTAATGGTTATAATCGTCAAATGCAAACTGAGTGTAATACAATTTTCTGTTTAAAAAAAAACCTAGAGAAAAATTGTCTTCTTTAATATTTCACACATAATACCATCAATTTTAACATATTAATTGTTTTTTAATACTTTTTTATATTATGACAATAATTAGACTACATAACATTACTTTTACTCAAGATTCCACTATACTCGATTTTCTCTTATTCGATTGGTCAGAACTCTCTTTTCTTAACCAATCAATGCGTTTTATGTAATCTTACCAAAATATTTATTGATGCAATGCGCATTTGTCCTGTTTCTTTTATAATTTATAATTATATTTATATAAAAATGAAATTGATAAAACGCATTTCGTAATAGTTTATTAAAATATTTAATTATTTAAAATAAATGTAATCAGTACTGCCACATATTCAAGGTCGTATTCATAGGTATATAAATTGCGCGATGTCATAGAGCTCTCACGTTATTGAGCCTTGCAAAGTACAAAAAATTGAAAAAAAGAATATCAATTAATTCCTTTTTTTAAATTAATATACAAATTAATATTTATGCGCATAAATGTATATCATATTTGATTTAATTAATTAATCAGATATTTTACCATTTAAAATTTCTATAAATGTTACTAACTTTCAGAGTAGTGCTTTTCTATATTTTACATAGGGGTTGTATACAATGCAGAAATAATAGGTATGCATTTACAGATAATTCACAAATTGTCTAGCTAATTTCATAGTTAATAATTGAAATAAAAAAATATTATTAATAGGATATAGAACATATGGAATGAAACATTTTGTTTTTACTGAATATATTTTAATAATATTCGTATGAAATACATTAATTTATAACTAAATCAATGATGGGCGCCAGCTTTCCTCATTTGTACAAGAATGTTTCCAAGTTCTTCACGTTTCCTCTTAGCTCTGATATGAGTGCCCAACTAAAATAATAAGTCAAAGTACAGAAAACATACTTCATAGATTACTTAATATTACATGTTATTAAATGTAGTATTATTTTCTAGATAAATGTTAATTAACCAATCAAATTTTTTATTTACCCTTCTTTTCAAAAACTTCAATGCGCGTTTATCCTTTGATACTTTCAGTAATTCCATAGCACGTTTCTCATAAGGAGCATGACCAGTTACTTCACGGATTAAGTCTCTGACAAATTTGCTATGTTTAGTTTGTCTCTGAAATCATAAAGAAATTGTTACAATAGTTTATTCATTAATTTATTGATACATTTAGACATGATTTTGTATTTCTTACCCCTTTCAATCTAGATGGTCGAAGAATGATAGTTTTTTCCTTCTCTGTCTTGTTTTTAGCTACTCTGATGGTAGTAGTTTTATGACCTCTGTTGAGGCCAACAGCTAATTCATATCTTGGTGCCATTCTATCAAATAATGCAATAAGGTTATGTGATGATCAATAATGTAACATTCATAGTAAAACTAAACAACATATCTCTACTTTAAAATTATTGTTAATTGACAAATGTAAATTATTGTAAAAGATGTAGGGTATTATTTTCTATAAATAATTATGTAGAAAATAACAAATATTAATTATTATGGTAGAACAAAAATTGGTGCTAAACAATGTTTTCATCGAAGCTCTTAATAATTACATTACTATTATGAAACAATATTATAAAAAAAACAATGCAACAAACTAATGCAACTTAATAATTTACTGATTTAATATTTAATTAAGAAGATTATCTAGATATTTCACGATATTCACACACAAACCTTAACTTACTTGAATTACTTTTCACATGTATCGCTTAAAGGAAAAAGATAGAGCACGTCAGGGATACCAACTATTTTTTCTCTTGATGCATGCTGCACCCCATTGGTTTTTTTTTTTTACTAGCACTGAATATTACGAAAAGATTTCACAAGATATTTATTACGTTCGATTTTATAATTAGAAATTAATGCAAATAATTAAAATATAGAAAACAAATTATTTGTTACATTTTTTATTATATGAAATAATAGAAATTTCACTAGATGTGTGTGAATAATATTACTAGAAAAGTACTATTATTTGAGAAGTATATGTGTCTATAGGTTTATATATATTATATTTTATAATCTACTTTACTTGGGGAAAAATGATAGGAATCTTTCCGTTTAAGGGTTAAAAAAAATAAATAAAACAATTTTGTGAAAAATTTTGAGTTGCCAAAAGTTGAATTTGAAACGCAAAAACCATATATAAATGTTTAAATAATTTCATAAGAAAAAAAAGAAATAGGGTTTTTATTATAGATTCTGAACATTAATAATAATAATAATAATAATAATAATAATAAGATAAAAAATAAAAATTAAAATAAGATCTGTTATTTTTTTTTAATCAAATTTTGACGCACAGTTATTTACATTTATTATCATATTATGATAATGTATCACAACACTCATAATCCATTGATCCTGCTTTTTCTTTATACATATTTAACGTGTTCCATTATCTTAATGAAAGCGATATGATTTCTTAACAAGAAATAAAATATCATTAAGTTAATGAGATCAATAAAGTAATCGTGATTTTACATAAAGATAAAGAAAAAAAATTGTTTCCCATTATTTGTTATCTTATTCTTTTTTACTTATATAACAAACTGGATTGTTATAAAATACGAACATACATATGAATACATAAGAGACTGATTAAGAAATACATACGTATGGGATAGAAATAAATTGTACTTAAAGAATGTTTTAGTAGATTATATTTTATGTATTATAATACAAAGTAAAAATGCGTAAAATATTTAATAGATAGAATACTTAAGATAATAATGTAAAAATACCCTTATTTACTTAAGTATTTCTAAAAGACATGATTTAATCAACAAAATTGATTAGAAAATGAAGTAGGAATATAATCTATACACATATATATATGTATATATAAAGGGTGTCCCAGTTTTTCTCCATCAAACGTTATCGACGATTTTAAAAACAAATATAAGACAAAAATGCCATATAAGCATAGATTTTGAAATGCCTTTTTAGAAAGTTGAAAACAAAATTATGAAATAATAATTAACTAATGTTGTTGGTTGATATCATGCAAGTTGAAATCACTGGTATTACAAGACACTGTATATGCACATTTATCTTATATCACAATATTATTATATCGAGACAATCTTCTTAAGATATTTCAGTATTGAATTATCGATGATTAATTAACTCAACTCAGTTGAGAGGGATATATTACGATCATAGTCTCCAGTTTTAGTATCAGTTTCTCAGTAAACTTAGTGCATTGTGTATTACAACTTCGTGGATATACATACAGAAGCAATCATATATAGTGTTCTTAAAATTTAATTATAGTGGATTATTTGTTTTACAATATATATATCGCATATATATTTTATATGTACGTATATATTGTGTATGATCGTTGCAAACTATTAAACAATTGAAGGTAAGAATGAATTACTTTTCGTGTACATTTTATCTCGAGATACGTTTAATCTGTTACTCTATATACATGATATTATATAAAATAAAATAATTGAATATTTCGTAATAATTATTTTATTTGCAATTGTTTTCTTTTTTAATAGTTTATTCGTATTTATTAAAAGTATATCATTTTTGTAATCCAAGTAGGTCATTTTTTAAATACGAATTTCTTATGCAATCTTGCGTTTCTGCGCATATCTACTGCGCAGATTCACTTACAATTTATCGATAAGATAAATTGATGAATTTTTCTTTGTTTAATGCTTCTACGTTTTGTGTAGTCATTAATAATTTAATTTGATTATTTAATTTGTTTCAAAGATGTTTAAGTTGTTGTTGCTATATAGTTTTATTACTAAAATGTGTCCAAGTGATTGTTGTGTTAGATATATATATAATTAGAAAAATATAATATTTAAAAACATTATATTTAGAAACAATATTTAAAACATTTGTAAACATATGTGGCAGTTCAAATATATCGAAATGAAATAAATATTGTAAAATGAAGTTAACGTTAATAATTTTACGTGTTTATCATCAACTTATCTTATTTTTGTCTATTTCATAAGAATGTTCATTGAGCAATTATTATATCGGAACAAACAAGTTCTATAAAAAATACATGACTTTATCTCAATTGCACATATTTTAATTATCGCTATATGACGTATAAGTAAATTTTATTGCAACATCATTTATATCTAGAGTAATTTTCCATGTATATTCATCTTTTATGAATGCAATAACATTATTATCTACTATGTTTGGCAGTGGTATGTGTAATTGTATTATTGTCAATAATGCAAAACTGATCCATGTCAAAATCAAATCAATGAAAATAAAAATGTATTGAAAATGATTATACAACTGTATTGAATCTTTCTAAGTATTATCTTTATAGTAAACATGATGCACCCCGCTTTGAAAATTAATGAATAATCTAAGACTATTAAAGGGATGAAAGAAGAAATATTAATGTAAATAAATAATATATCGATGTAATTGTATTTATAGGAAAAGATCATTTTTATGGAACAATGAAGCGCAATTTAAATGGGACAGTGAACACTATATATGACACGAATTACAAAACAAAGATACACAATGGGAATACAATTAATGATGAATTTAAACAGTTCACAGCGAATACTCTTGTTTTTTATGTTAATGGAAAAGAGGTAAAATTATATGTCGATACAAATCAAAAGAATAAAGAATAGGTATGATATTAAATTAATTGAGTTTGATTATTTTAGATATTAGATGATAAGGTGGAGCCTGAGTGGACTTTACTATGGTACCTTCGTAATAAATGTATCCTTATAAAAATTAATATATAAAAAATGTATTATATTTTTGATAACATTAACTATAGAACCTTAACTATGTAAATATAGTACATTTAACTGGAACCAAATTAGGATGTGCCGAAGGTGGATGTGGAACATGCACTGTTATGATTTCAAAATATAATTATAGGACTAAATCAATTGTGTATCCTTTTTTTCTATACATTTAAAATATAATTTAAAGACAATATTAATTAATTATATTAGAAACTAAATATTATTTTCTTAATTATTAAATATAATAGTCATTTGGCAGTAAATGCATGTTTATTTCCAATATGTGCTGCACATGGTTTAGCAGTGACTACAGTAGAAGGAATTGGTAGCATCAAAACAAAATTACATGCTGTTCAGGAACGCATAGCTAAATCACATGGTTCCCAATGTGGTTTTTGTACACCTGGCATTGTTATGTCTATGTATACACTTTTGAGAAATACACCAAAACCTACAATGAAAGATTTGGAAATTGCATTTCAAGGTAAACCAACTTTATAAATTAATTTATGTTTTATTGTACATGTCTAATAAAGTACAAATTTAATAATAAAATATTTTATTTTTAGGTAATTTATGCAGATGTACAGGATATCGACCAATTATAGAAGGATACAAAACCTTTACTGAAGAATGGGAACAAATGCAACTTGCTAATAATATGCCCAAGGAGAAAGGATGCGAAAGTGTTTGCGGCATGGGAGATGCTTGCTGCAAGAAAGCATTTTCATCCGAACCTACCGAGGTTTTTAATTCTAAAGGATTCAGTCCGTATGATCCTTCTCAGGATTTAATATTTCCACCAAAGTTACAAGTAAAATTATTTGGAAATTCAATTTATTTAATTTGCGAATTAATTTGATAGAAATTCATTTTATTAATAACATATATGTATGTGATATTTCTATTTACAGATATCTTCTTATCTTAATGAGCAATATTTAGTAATAAAAGGCAAAAATGTAACTTGGTTCAGACCTGTAAATTTAACGCAACTACTTTGCCTTAAAAACGAGTTTCCATCCGCCAAAATTGTAATTGGAAATACAGAAGTTGGTTTGTATTTTCTCTTCGATGTATTTTATTTTCATGTTTGATATAGTCACTCTATTATAAAGTTAAATTGTATTGCAGGTATAGAAATGAAATTCAGACATTTAATATATCCAATAATTATACAGCCAGTACAAGTAAAAGAACTGCAGGAAATTGTAGAAACCAAGGATGGATTAATAGTTGGTGCGAGCACGACTTTGAACGAATTGCAAGAAGTTCTTAATCATTATATCAAAACAAAACCAGGTAAATTTTTATTTTTCAATATTAAAAAGAAAATCGTATATATATGTAGATATATTTTCATTGTATTTAAATTCTTTCAGAATTTCAAACAAGAATTTTTACAGAGATAATAAAAATGTTACACTTTTTTGGCGGTAAACAAATTAGAAACGTAGCCGTGAGTTTTTATAGTTGGTTTCATTGTACTTTTTTTTATTAAATCCTTCTGAAAAATGTGTACAATTAAAATAAAATTAAATTATACAGGCCATTGCTGGAAATATAATAACCAGTAGTCCCGTATCGGATTTAGTTCCATTATTGGTAGCTGCTCGTGCGAAGGTAGTATTGCAAAGTTTAAAAAAAGGAACCAGGACGGTATTGCTCGATCAAAACTTTTTTACCAGTTATCGGCGTAATATTGTAGAACCCGAAGAAGTTCTTGTTTCAGTAAAAATTCCTTTTTCTCATAAGGTATATAAAAACAAATTCAAATTATTATAAAACTTATAACATAAAAAATCTCTAAAATTGTATGCACATTATTTTTTTTTTCAGAATCAATATTTTATTGCTTACAAACAATCAAGGAGACGAGACGATGACATAGCAATAGTGAATATGGCTTTTAATGTATTCTTCAAGGATCAAACACGAATAATAGAGGATGCATATTTATCCTTTGGTGGAAAAGCTCCAACCACTACTTTGGCTTCTCAAACACGTCAAAAAATGATTAATAGGTTTGTCGTAAATTAAGCGTTTAAAATTAGTCAGTTCTAATGGGAAGTTAATGGGATATTTAATGAGATTTTTATCATTTCAGAAAATGGGATGAGAATTTATTGGAAACCGTATATGATTCATTAATTGAAGAATGCAATTTAACGGACAATTCTCCTGGCGGTATGATTATGTATCGTCATGCTCTATCGTTAAGGTATACTTCGTCAAATATATTACATATCTCAATATTAAAAATAATTATATTTATTCTATAAATACATTTTTATATCATATTTCAGTCTATTTCTCAAAGGATACTTACATATAAGTAAATGTTTATCAATGAATTTGCCAAATGTAGAACCACTGCCAAAAGAAATATTAAGTGCAACAGAGTGCTTCCATTATAAAACACCAAAAAGTTCGCAATATTTCCAAATTGTACGTTATAATATATTTATTAATCCAATATTTCTTGAAATATTATAATCATTAATATGTATTTAGGTACCTGAAAATCAACCTCACACTGATTTAATTGGACGTACAATCGTCCATACCAGTGCTTATAAACAAGCAACAGGTGAAGCAATTTATTGCGATGATATGCCTGCAATAAATGGAGAATTATATATGAGTCTTGTATTGTCGACAAGATCACATGCAAAAATTTTGAAAATTGATCCGTCGAAAGCTCTTGAAATGGAAGGAGTTAAAGCATTTTACTCTGCTAAAGATATTCCTGATGATAGACGATGGGTCGGTCCTATTATATATGATGACGAAATATTTAAATCTGATAAGGTAATTTTAGATCAAAATTAAATGTTAAAAGTAAGTACAATGTAATGTGAATACATAATGTAGAACATGCTTAATTATTTTCTAGGTCACAAGTCAAGGACAAGTTATAGGTGCAGTTGTTGCAGTTGATAAAGATACTGCACAAAAAGCTGCAAGAAATGTTGTCGTGGAATACGAAGATATAGAACCCTTAATTGTATCTATAGAGGTAATTAATAATAAAATCTACAACTATATTTTATTTTTATATATTTTTTATAATTGAATGTACGTACATCTATCAACTAAATGTTCTAATTTTTCCTCAATGTTTATAACATTATAATTAATATTTTTGTAGGAGGCTATTAAACATAATTCGTTTTTCACTGGCTTTACAAAACGTATTATTAGAGGAGACGCAAATAAAGCATTCGCAGAAACGGATCATATAATAGAGGGTGAAATACATACGGGTGGACAGGAACACTTTTATTTGGAAACAAATGCTGTTATTGTTGTACCAAACGAAGAAGATGAACTTGAAATATTTAGTGCAACTCAACATCCTTCTGAAATACAAAAGCTTACTGCTCATGCCTTAAACATACATAGCAATAGAATTAGTGTCCGTGTCAAGCGATTGGGAGGTGGTTTTGGAGGAAAAGAATCTCGTCCTTATATGCTTGTTATACCAGCTGCACTCGCTGCATATAAGTATGAATATAATTAAAGGATTTCAATTATTAAAAACCAAATTTGTATGTGTTAGATTCAACGCCGAATAAAATAATATATATATTACATTTTTTATAGATTGCGCAAACCTGTGCGTTGTGTGTTGGATAGAGATGAAGATATGATAATGATGGGAACGCGACACCCATATCATTTCAAATATAAAATTGGATTTAAAAAAAATGGTTTGATAGATGTCATCGAAATACGTATATACAGTAATGCAGGATATTCTGCTGACCTCTCTCCATCGGTAAATAATTAATTATGAAATAAATAAAGTAATATGCAAATATTTTACATATGATAAATGAAATATGTTGATTTTTTTAATTTTTTTTAGATATTAGAACGTACAATATTCCATTTTGATAATTCATATAGAATACCAGTGGTAGATGCGTGTGGTTATCTATGTAAAACAAATTTACCTTCCAATACCGCTTTCCGTGGTTTCGGTGGTCCACAAGCTATGTTCGCTGCAGAAAATATGATTAGACATATCGCTGAATTTTTGAATGTAGACGTTCTAAAGGTATTATTTTTAATATTTAACATAGAAACTTTATAGTACGTATTTTTACATTTATTTAATCTTTGGTTTCGTTTAAATTGATTCATTCGTATCGTACATATCGCATACATAAATTTTATAGAAAATAATTTGTTTGTTTGTTTTTATAGATAGCAGAATTAAATATGTACAAAGAGGGAGATGTAACTCATTACAATCAACCGCTTCTTCATTGTACCATAAGTCGTTGCTGGAAACAATGTTTAAGTTCTTCTAATTATTACGAACGAGCAGCTGCAGTTCAAGAATTTAATAAGTATGTTTGTAAACTCTTATATTTTATTATATTTGTCGTTATTTTAATTTTGTTGTATTTCATTTATATTTCAGACATCACAGATATAAGAAGAAAGGAATAGCCGTCGTACCAGTGAAATTCGGAATTTCGTTTACTACTTTATTCTTAAATCAAGGTGGAGCACTCGTTCACATATATACCGATGGTTCCGTTTTAGTTAGCCATGGTGGAATCGAAATGGGACAAGGTTTGCATACGAAAATGACCCAAGTATGTGCTACGATAAAAATTTCAAATTATTCTATTAATTTATAATAGACGCAAGTTTATCAACAATATAATCTTATTATCTGAAATACATTAAATATTAGGTCGCCAGCAGAGTGTTAAAAGTAAATCCAGATAAGATCCATATTGTTGAAACTGCCACAGATAAAGTACCAAATACTTCGGCCACTGCTGCCAGTTGTGGATCTGATTTAAATGGCAATGCTGTTATGGTATTTACGTAGATAAATATTAATACATATTAATATATATATATATTTTCTTTTAATGTACTTTATAATTAATTACACGTGTTATATTTGTTATTTTTCAGAATGCATGCAATGAGATTATGAAACGATTAAAACCTATTATTGATAGTAATCCAAATGGCACTTGGGAAGATTGGGTAAAGAAGGCTTATTTAAGTAGAATTAGTCTTTCGGCAACTGGATTCTATCAAACTCCAAATATTGGATATTCTTTTGAAACTAATTCAGGAAATCCCTATAATTACTTTACTTATGGCGTTGCTTGTACAGAAGTAATGATCGATTGTCTTACAGGTGATCATCAAGTACGTATCGTTTTAATCTTAAACATTATATTGTTTTTCAGATTAATTTGAAAATATATTATACAGTGCATATTTAAAAGTGTATATATCAAAACTAATTGATCATATATCTATCAAAATAGATACTTAGAACAGATATAGTGATGGATGTGGGAGACAGTTTAAATCCCGCTATTGACATTGGTCAAATTGAAGGTGCCTTCACGCAAGGTTACGGATTATTTGTGTTAGAAGAATTGATGTATTCTCCAACTGGATTTCTTTATAGCAGGGGACCTGGTGCATACAAACTACCAGGGTTTGCCGATATACCACAAGAATTTAATGTTTCATTATTGAAAGGGGCTCCCAATCCTCGAACCGTTTATTCTTCAAAAGTATGCATACGCGAGCTAATTCGACAAAATTTATAGATCGATGTTAACTAATGTTTTCTTTTTTTTTCATTTCATTTCGATATGTGATACTTTAAACATATTTTTACAGGCTATTGGAGAACCACCTTTGTTTTTGGCATCATCTGTTTTCTTTGCTATTAAAGAAGCTATTAAATCTGCGCGTAAAGATGCGAATATTACAGGTCATTTCAGATTAGATTCGCCTGCCACAGCAGCACGCATTCGTACAGCATGCGTGGATAATATAATAATGAAGGTAATATATAATGACAATGATATGTTCCTTTTGTTTTACTTATCCTATACATATTTAAATTACATTTAAAAACGTTTCTTTACCTTACAGATTCCGGAAATCGATTTGAGTAAACAATGGAATAAAATTCCATAAAAATTATATTTATATATATATATATAAAAAAAAAAAAAATGAATTTGTTAATATATATTTATATCTAATATATATTTACACCATACGTCATATTGTAATATATAAAGTACGGTGTCCATTTTAATTTCAGCTTGTTTTAAGTGCTTACAATAATCGAGACAATCGTTTTGATTTAACTAACTATTTTTGTATATGATAACTGTTATATTGTAACCAGACATCTAAAATATAATATATATATTTATATAGAAAAAAAAAGGTGCATTGGTGGTACTAAAAAAAAGTAATTTTCAGAATATATCTAATATCATTGATTTATGATATAACTTTTGTCACAGGACATTATAAAAGTTGTGTAATGTAAAAGGTACACCAGTCTTAACGATATTTTGTCATACTAAAGAAATACATTTCTTAAATCTAAGATATTTGTTTAATTAAAAATTGTTAAGTCTGATGTTTAACAATATGAATCTTACATCTAAATACATAACTCCGATTGTATTATTTTACTAGCATTACAGGATGGTTTATTCTCTAATGAATTTTAGAGATTTTTAATAAATTTGGAAAATATGTGATGTATTCGTATATAATACATACGATATATATATTACAAGGTGATGATCTGTTTTAATTTGAATGTAATTGTTTCTTTTCTTTTTTTTTTCTTTTCTTAAAAATTATGTCAAGATTATTATTTATTGCAAATCGCAATAAAATATTTAATACGTAACGTAAGACTAATCTTGTAATTATTATAAAAGAGAAATGTGATTAATGCATGCTACAAATATTAAATACTAATAATTAATTATATTTAATATAATTTCTTTGAATTAGAAAATAATAAACATCACATTTGATTCGTATCAATATCTCAAATAATTGCATCTTATGATTTCCCTTCTAAAGTTTTAATTTCATTCATAATCTCATTCTTTCTTCGCATTTTTTCTAAAATCTCTTTTTCCGGATTTTTTAATAAACCACTTCTTATTTTTTCTTCTAATGATTCAATTTCCCTTATCTTCTTACGAAGACCTTTTATTCTTTTTTCCGTGTCGACAATTGTTTGATCCATCTTATTTATCTCGTTACTCAACGCTGACACTTTATCTTCAACTTTAGCTTGCGAGATAGTAGTTTTTGATAATTCCTCTATTATTATTTCAGTATTTTTATTTTTACTTTTCCTCTTTTTCTTTTTATTTTCTGGCTTTGGTTGTACATTTGCTACACTCTTAGCTGCTTTCGCTGCTAAAGCCTCTTGTTTAGCTTTGTGTTGAGCTATGAACTCTGGACTTGCTCCAACAGGATAAATCGGTTTGTTTTTTACAAATTGTTTGCCCTTACTTTCGTATCTATAACAAAATAAAATTTATTAATATCAGGACATTAGAGTAAGTAATATGGATTGTTTTTTAACCGATTGAGTTCTAGTAGTCTTTAGACAAATTGTTTTAACAAATACCAAACAATACATGATCACATATCAATTTTAAATTGCATTTCAATAACATGGCACCTTTTGACAAAACATTTTCAACAGTTTAGTACTCAAACGATTAAATCCATTAAAATATTTTAACATACAAGGGTACTTCTTCTTGCGGTATGTATCCATCTTTTACACGTCGTGGTTTACGCCATGTACCATCCGGACGTTGGCTGGCAGGAATAAATGTTCCGCCTATAAAACAAATAAAAGATACAATGTTTAGAATAATTATAAATGTGATTAAATGAATGAGAAGTTAAAGTTATTATTTGAAACTTTCCTTATAATTGTAATTGGAAGTATTCAAATTAATTGAAATAAAAATTAAGAAAGAATTCTCATACATTTGGATTAAAAAAAAACATTATACAAAACTTATGAAAGAATAATCAAAATGTTTGAGGTTAAGAGCAACAAGTTTTGTGAAAAAAAAAAAAAAAAGAAAAATTATATAAAAAAGAATAGTAAAAAATTTTGAAGGTTACGAGTAAGAGAGGCTTTACAAAATATAATTAAAAAATGTAATAATAATTTGTAAAAAAATAGAATTACCTTGTTCATCTTTTATATAATTAGACGCCATATTCCACGCGACTCTGATAGTATGTTGAGACTATTTTTATTATAATTCTAAAAACTTCCTATATACTCCCTCGTGTCATGATATAACTGTACTTATTGTAACAACCGTATTTGTAGTATACAAGCGAGCTTTTTCTGAGAATTTGTATGTCAATGTTATTTTCATCAAATTCTCTCTTTATAGGTCCGAAATATTGTATGATATATATAGTGATAGTAAAATATTAAATTAAAATATCCTATATATATATATATATATATATAACCTGATAATTTATGACAATATAACCTAATTATCATTAATTGATAATTATGATTATTTATAAAAAAAACATATATATATATATTTATATTTATATATGTGTGTGTGTTATGTATTTAGAGTAATGAACTTTGAAATATGGAGGTTATCTTCCCCCCTTTATCTCGAATGTTAGTAATCGATTATAGCATTTGTTAATAACTAATATCGATTATCTCGATCTGCCATCTTCGTCTAGAAGAATAAGACGTCCTATTGATTTACGAAGATCTTTAACAAAATATTTAGTTTTATTTTTTAATTGTGTGATTAGTTGTCAAGAAAAAATTCCAATTATTTATATATATGCGTATTAGAAAAAATTAGGTATTGTAATTTATTAATTATTTAACATATAATTGAACATTGAAATAATTTATACAACTTAACCTAAATTTTGATACATGCAACAGGTAAACATTTACATAGGTACATAATTAACTTGATATATATTTAGATTGATAAAAGAAAAGGTATTAGAATGATTAGGATAGATAATATACAAGTTAATATTTTAAATAAGATAGTTTATTATAAAATTAACATTTATTTCATTTAATATACATAATTATTTTCTTTTTAATTTATGTTTTTTTATGGAATCTAAAACAATATCTACAATGGAAAGATTTTCACCTAACGTATATGGTGAATGTTTGAAAATTTTATTTAATTGTTCTTTTGATACTTCGTGCAAAATACTATAGATTTTTTCTAAATAAAGGTCTACTTGATTAGCGTACAGAGGACCATTACTCTCGTATATTAATAAATTAGGTTTTTGAGATTCAATTAAACGATTGAAATAACGCGCTATATTAACTTCACCCTTTAACTCAAACATATTAGACGATTGCATAATTGGATCAATGCCGATGTTTTTCCAAATTAATATTATATCTATAAGACTGTTCTTATCCGCATTTTGATAATTTAAACAGAAATTTTGCAAGCATACAGGTAATTTCATTACAGAGGAATGCGTGTAAGTTGATATGTTTACTTTCAAGTAAGTTTTAGCGAGATCTAAAATCTTTTCTATTGAGTATATAGGATAAAGCGGATCACAAAAAATAATAAGTTTCTGTTTTTCGATCCTTGCAGCATTTTGTATTATTTGCGATACATGGCATTGACTTTGATCGGTCTTTATCTTTGGATTTTCCTCATCCAATGGTCTTTGCAACTTTATCTTTGATGATTTCATTTGAGCGCTATCTCTGTCAACATAATGTGTTTCAACTGTATAGGAAGTAACTTTAAATTTTGTTCTATATAATAAATATTTCTTTTTCTTTTTTTTTTTATCAATTTAGTGTAAATTTATGAAACGAAATTAAAAAGTATTACAATATATATATTAAGATATATTTATATATAATAAATTCATTAAATTAAACATAAGAAAAATATTTAAAAATGATATTTACTTATATAATCGACACAACGGGTTATTGTACACCATTTCCAAATCAATTTTTTGTCCAACAAGGTCTCTTATATTATTTAAACCATATTTAATCATCGTGGGCCTAATAAATTATTGATACCAGTTAAATAAGTCATTTCTTGATTTGTACTTTATGTATATTTATAGTATTACGCTACTTAAATCTTATATTATATGTTGCACATACCTTTCTAACGACAAACCCCATGCAATAACATTAACACCTTCTGGTAAACCCATAGGCAATAACATTTCTGGTCTAAACATTCCACTATTACCAATTTCAATCCATTTCTTTAAACCGTTATGATAACAGAATATTTCCATACTTGGTTCCGTATATGGATTGTAGGCTGGCTTGAATTTAAGTTCAGTGATGCCAAGTTTCTTAAAAAATTCATACAACATACCAATCAAATGACCAAGAGTAAGATTATAATTGGCTATTACACCTTCAATTTGATGGAACTCAGCAAGATGAGTTGCATCCAAAGTTTCATTTCGGAAAACACGATCAATACTAAAATATTTTACAGGTTTAAACTCTCCCTAAAATAAAAGGAAAGAAAAAAGTATATCGCTATTATATCTTTGTAATAAAGTTACAATTACAACTGTTAACATCGGAAACACACCTCTTGCATAAGATTATACAGCATCCGTGCACTGACCGCAGTTGTATGGGTACGAAGTAAATTCTTTTGAGCTTCCTTTAATTTCCAATCATAACAGTAACCTTGAGATCCATAACCACCTTCGCTATGAACCTTTTTAACTTTTTCCAAATACTCAGGAGGAAAACAATCGCTGTGACTTGGTTCTAAATTAAAAAATAATTATTCTTTTAAAGCAAATTATTATATGTTTTAATGTAACATAAAAATGAAAAATGTCTAAGTAGATAAGTACTTGAAATAAAGAACGTGTCATGTGCATCTCGTGCAGGATGCTGCTGTGGTTGAAACAAAGCATCAAAGTTCCAAAACGAGCTCTCCACGTAATTATTCGTAGGCATCTCTGTAAATCTACAAAAATGTAATGTCAAATTATTATTTCTTTCTGGTTTTTGTTATCCTTGTAACACATGCACTTCGTAAAGAAATATTTATTATAATTACCCCATTTCCAAAAATATCTTTTTAAATTCACTCTTGACTTTAAGCAAAGGATGCAAATGTCCGACTTCTAGGGACGATCCACGGGCTTCAAAATTATATGGTTTAAATTTCTTATCTTTCCAAGCACCGTTGGCTATTAATTCCGCAGTCAAATCTGTTTCTAACTTTTCAGTTTGTATAGAAAAGTTTGGTCCTTTCTTAAGTAGTATGCTTTTTACAATACTTTTATAAAAAAAAGAAAGATTTTATAGAAACAGCAGGATATATTAGTTTTCAAATATTATTAAAAGACTTACATTTCTTGTAGGAATTTTCTCTTTTTGTATTCTTTCTTAATATTCTCCGGTATACTATCAAGATTTTTTAAGTGTACTTGTACAGTATCGGTGATAAATGGTAAGGCCTTTCTAACAATAGTCGCATTATTAGATTTATCAAGTTTAATCCAACCGGCAGCGAGTGCTTTGGAAAAACCAATCTTTGCGAAAGGAACAGATGAATCGATAATAGATTTAGATATTCCATCATCAGGTACTGCATTATAGACTACAGCTTCATGACTACCATTTTTTAATACATGTTCACCCTCCGTTGTTATTTCCCACTTTTGCTTGCTGATTATCGTTGTTTCAATTACCTGTCAAGAAAAAAGAAAATGTATAATAACTTGCTCAATTTTATTTTTAACATATAATGATACAAAAAAGATAAATTGAAAACGTTTTTTATTTAATGTAAAATAAACATATTTAAAGAATAGATAAATTGTACATCTCCAAGAGATTCCAAGCTTTTAATTGCTCCAACTATCTTTTGATGATCTTCATTAAAAATGTCTGCTAAATCTAAGGAATTAACTTCATTATTTTCAGATAAATATTTTAATATATTATCAGCAAGTTCTTTTGACATTTTAATAATATTAATTCTTTTTAACTAATTTATCACGTCACGTCACACAATTTCTAAGTGCTTTTACGAATTATAACATAATACATGTGAGGTTTAATTGGTTTTATAAAAAACAGAGGGAGCTAGCTATGTTCAAGTAGAAAAACATACATATATGTACATATATATATATATATATACATTAGGTTATACATGATGCAAAAACGTGTGTAAGAGTGTGCAGATTCTAACCTTTAAAGTAATATATATTTGTAATTGATAATTATGAGAAAGTAATAACAATGAATAAAATGTTGAAATCAATGAAATTTGGAAAGAATGCTTTCCTGAGAATTAGAAATTCAAGAACACAGAGAAGATTATTTCTTACAGAAGCATATCAGTGTCAAGAAGCATGGAATCGTAGACTCGAATCACCTATATTGCAACAATTAAAACCGGCAGAATTTTATTTGGAATTGGAATCTAAATATAATAATTTTGGTAAAGTTAGTGCAGTTGACATAGACATATTTGCTAATATTATTAGTGAAAAATCTGAAGGGAATGAACTTATGGATTTGCTTTACAAATTAAGAATGTCCGCTGAGGCTTGTAATATTTTAGATTCTACGCATCATGCTGTTATACGTTTCTTTCTCAAACATAATAATATCGATGATCTATTTGAAATATTAAATGATAGATTAAATTATGGTATTTTTCCTGATCATTATTGTTACAATATGCTCATGAACAAATTCATAAAAGATAAGAATTTTGCATCAGCAGCTAAGGTAGCAGGATTGTTGATGCTTCAAGAAGATTCTGCTCATCCGTTATGCAATGTATTGTCTGTATATTCTTGTCATAAGTATTTAGAAAATCCTAGCGATTGGAAAATACCTGAAATTAAGGAAGATGATACTACGGAAGAAATTCGAATACGCGTACCATATATAAGGAATCCATATTTCGATGATCATTTTGATCTCATTGATCCATTCAAAATCGTTGGTAAAACTTTAGTATTTCAAGGTAAACAAATGAATAATTCTTTAGGAAGAACTTGTCAATTAAGAGGAATGATTCTATATCAAAAATATGCTAAAGCGAAAGAACTTATAAACAAGTGGTTAATCGAAATCAAGGAAGATATTGTTCATGAAGAAGTATTTGATTTGATTAAGAAAGACAATGCAAATATTCCTGAAGATCAAATAACAGAAGAATTTAAAGATTTACTAATTGTCATAGATACATTAAAAAATAATAATTTACATAAAGAAAATTTAATCGAAAGGATAGAAAATGAAGTTAAGTCTGCAGTTGATCAATGTACAGAAACAGATATATCTGAACAAAAAGAGGTAATGTATATAAATGCATCACTTTGCTATCATAAAATTGTCATATATAATTAGATTAATAAATATAATTCTCTCATCAATATTTTATATTTTAATTGTAGATCTTCCTCGAATGGGAGAAAATTAGAGGAGAAATATTGAAGGAACAACAGATATTACTAGATAAACAATTACGATTAGAAAAAATACAGAAGATTAAAGAGGAGTTAGAAAAGAAAGAGAGATTATTAACATTCTTTGAAAATGAGGAAAACATAGAATTGGAAATCGAGAAAAAGCAAGCAATAATAAAAGAGGAAGATGAGAGATTAGCGAGGAAGCCTAAAGCGTTACAGAAATTAAATAGATTGATAGAAGAAGAAGCTTATACACCGCCAACTATTTAACATTTGCAATATATCGTTGACTTTTCATTAAAATAAAATAAATATTATGTAACATAATATAATGCAGTACATGCAGTAGAGAAAGAGAGAGAGAAAGAGAGATCATAAAAATGAAATGTTGTGAACTATATAAACGTAGTTTATATACTTTTTAATAATATTTAATCAACAAATCATTTTTTGTAACATTTTATAGTACAAAGAAATTGCATAAAAAAATTATTATGATGATCATAAGTAACATTTCATTTTGTATGTATTATCATTTGTACATGCTCGCTTAAAAACAACTTTCTCTTTAAGTAGTTATTATAAAGAATTATTCGAATGATCATTTTTTAAAGCCGTACACTCTTTTTCAACGAATATGAAAGCTTATATTATTGAAATTTATTATACTAAAAAAAGATTAGGCTCCGTAACAACGATATTTTTAGAGCACTTGTGCATATGTTTTTTTTTCCATTGTATATTTGGGACTGGAAGCTGTATAGTTTTAATTTATCAAGTGCTCCAGGCTGAGGCACATTTTTTGCAGCATTTTTACAGCATCCTTTACAATTAATACATCCATTAAATAACACTAAGTTATTAAAATTGTATACAAGGCTTTTACATAACTATAAAAGTATTTGTCCATTTAGTCTTGTATTTAATGAATAATATTCATTCGAATACTCTGTAAAAGATATTTTTGTGTTAATTTCTTAAGCAAAATTTACATATAAAATACAAGGTATCTTCATAATTAGTATCAGATCGTAAACTCTTACTTTGTTAGTATTTTTATGTGATTATGAGTGTGCTATAATATATTATTATCGCATCTATAACTTAATCATGAATTTCGGTTTTGGAGTTGTGCAGTTAACGCAGCCGTTTCTTGTTTCATTTGCTTTAAGTCAGCAGTTATTCTTTCTAGGTTTGCACCAACATTCTTAGCAGATTCCGTGTCGATCTGTTGATTAACAAAAATTTATTACATACGGTAGAATATAGATAGGAGTAGATTTTGATCACATAGAAAATATATATGTTACCTGTTCTTCCAAATCTCTTATTTCACGTATTGTAGCACCTGTTTCTTCGACCAAACTAACAAGTTCACTACAATCAGAATGTAATGTTGCCAATAATTTGTATGCTTTTCTCGAGGCTTCGTTCGTCCTCGCATCTCTAAATATTAATTCGTCCACTACCGTGAACGATCTTTCTAAGCGACCGGTAAGCGTATTAATTTCTTTCTGAATTTCACGAGTATCCCCCAATACTTTATTAATCTCGTCTCTTTGTTTTCTGACATTGTTTATTATTTCTAAAATTCGTTGGGTGTATGCAGATCTGTTAATCTCTTTAGGAAGTTTCTGTACTTCTACCACTAATTGCGAATACAATTGGTCTTTATTCCTGCATTCTTCTTCAAGTTCTTTCTCCTTTTCTTTGAGTAGTTTTATTTCATCCTGTTTCTTTTGACTTACACTCTAAATATTAAATAAAAATTTCAAGTGAATTTATAAATATAATTAAATGGTTATACATCACATGATTTAATACTTACCGCCTTTGTGGAATGTTTCTCTCTTTCTTCTCGATATTTTTGAATTAATGGCATTCTATGTTTTTCCCATTGATTAGCTAAATGTAGTAATTTTTCTGTAATCCCTTCGATAATAGTTTCTAACTTTTCTATATTTTTTTCTCCATCTTGATATAAATCGTAAGCTCTCGCTTTAACTTTTCTTTGTTCCTTGTCAATTTTTAATGCCTTTTCCTCGTTCTGATAAGTCATTGATGCTTGAGTTACTTTTACCGTTAATTTTTTAATCTCCTCTTGTAAACTATCTATATTGTGTTTAAAGTTTTCACATTCCTCTTTTATTTTTTCAACTTGCAAGTCTTGTATCTCTTCTTTTTTAGAAACAAATTCTTGCTGTGGTACATCAGCTGTCATAATCGTATCAGCTACTTTAGCATCAGAGTTTGGAACATCTGCCTCGTTCAGTTGAGAATTCTATAAATACAAAAATATTCATTAGAAAACATTAATAGAAGTTTCATTTTTAAGTTTCTTTATAGTTTTACCTTGGATACTGATGATTCTTTCAGAGAAACTCTGTTAAATGGTTGATTGTGATTAGATGCGTGTATTATCTTTTCTTGTTGAGCGTTCAACCAATCGATATGTTCTTTAATATTTACCGATTGTGAATGAATAGCTCTTGCATTGTGTGAAAGAATAGAAGGTAAAAAAGATTGTTGAGTTAGCATTTGATTAGGCACTGGTTGCATATAATGTAAATAGTAATCTTGATACTCTGTAAAAAATAAAAAGGTTGAATATGTAAAGAGGAATGCGATTGATGGTTTAATCAAAATTAAATTCTAAATTTACCTTCTTCAGTATCAGATGTTGATACTTCTATATTTACAGATTTATAAGGTACATTTGCCCTTCCTCTGTTTCTAAATCCCTTTTTGTGACAAAAATGTGGTAACCACGGTATGGAAAAACTTTGCGATATAACAGATGCTATGGATTTTTCTAGCAAAGCAATTTCACTGGTCGGTTCGCTTAAAGTCTTATCGCTTTCCTTGGGTAATTTTTCAATCAAAAACATTAAAACCCTTCTTAAATCATTTTCCGAACTGTAGAGAAATGTTTGATAACCGATATCACCTCTGTATCCAAGGTCCTAAATTTATGAATCCAGTATAAGTATAGATGACAAATATTTTATTCGCTGAAGAAACGGATATATATATATCAATTAAACAATCTTAAGTATATATCAAATAATTATACCATTTTTTCGATCTCTTACCGTGCATGCTTGTGCCAGTGTTGCACCTAAACGAAAACGTGCTGCCATATTCGGTGGCAATGTTGTATGCAATCCAAGACCTGGTCTTATTGCATCTAAACATTTTACTGTTGCTTCTACTACAGTCTCTGTATCGAAGCCACTTAAGTTTGTTACTTCTTCTTTTATACCACTAGAAACAATTTTCATTTATATAATACAAATGAAATATATTACAAGTTGACTGTGTTATTCATTGCAAAACATTTTGCAAAATGATACAATCATTTAACATATGTATTAAACGTATCTCAAACAAAATAATTCTAACTAGTGTATAGTAAATTCTTTTTTTTATTCTTGCTGAAATTAGTTTTAACATATAGTAATAGTAAATAAAATTGTAACGTCAAGAAACAATGCATTTAAATTATTTATTATTATCAATAAAATCAACGCCCACTTTCTGTCATAGTATAGTGACAGAAAGGAAGTAAAATATATGATCGTTATATTTAACTCACCAGCCTATTTGACGTAACGAGTGAATAATTATATTATCTACCTCCTCCATCATACGTACAAAAATGAAAATCTAAAACTTCTACCACTTAATGTTTTATTATACAGAACTCAATCTGATAATGATAAAAACCTAACCTTTCATGAAACAATATATATATATATATATATATATATGAATAGCTACTATATATATGTAGCTATATATATATATATATTTAGTAGGAACAGACAGGTGGCGTGAGACGTTTGTAAAATGAATATAATAAATATATGTATTTATTCATATTTATTATATTTCAATACATCAGAATGTTCATATTAAAATTTTAATTAAAACTTATCAAATTATTAACGATAATTACATAGTATCTATGTATAAAAAGAATAAAGAAAAAGAGAGATAAATATAAATATTAAAAAAGAGCATACTATCGAGAACATGGAAAGATTAAAATGTTATCGATATATTTTTCAGCTTCTCAACGTGGCTATTAATCTAAAAATGTCGAGTCTTATCTAAAATTATTTATATTAGACTTATTAAAAGAGAGAAAGAAAGTGATATTAAAAATATTTTGTAAGCGTCTACAAATTTAAAATTTGAAATTTGGCAGAATTTTTTCATTGGAGAAGGGAACAACCAATAAGATCATAGGAAGATAGGGATTGGTTGATAGCCGTAGCCAATAAAGATTTGCCGTTAACTTCACAGCTAAGGAGGTAAAGATCAATCTCTGGTGTTTTCCGAGCAGTAGTAAGAGAAGGATGGGGATAACGGAAATATATCGAGTGGGAGTGGGAGAGAGATTGAAAGAGTGAGAAAGAAGAGGTGTATGCTAACGAAGGATAGGCTGCTAATAGGACAGTCGTGCTTTGGAGAGTGGTGGGGATTGTGGCGTAACGCGTAGAGGGTGGGAGAGGGAAAAATCTGTTGGACGGGTTAGAACGGTGCGTGCTCCCGTGCGGTTCCGTGCTTTTCCGTTAGCGTAAACATCAGCTGTGTGTTTGTGTGTATATATCTCTCTCTCTCTCTCTCATTCTCTCTCGGTATCTTTCTCGAGGCCACGAGTCTCTTAGAAGAAATGACAGGAGCAGTCGAGAGAACGGTCGCGATGCGTTTATCGTTTTCGTGAGGGTGGAAAAAAAGCTTTCTCGTGATAATTGTCAAGGGGAAGAATAAGGCGGGCCGGATATATTCTATCTGTCACCACCCGCCGCTTCAACTTTAACAATAAGGTTCGATCGGGATAATGAACGGAGGAAGCCTAGGAATACCTCGAGGACCCGAACAACATCCGCAGAGATTCGCCGATTACTTCGTCATATGCGGTCTTGATAAAGATTCGGGCCTCGAACCGGACAAATATTTCGGTAAGTCAAACTACCCCCATTAATTTCTTTTATTTTTATTTATATCGTTTATTAATGCACGTCACCCCTTTTTAATCTTTATTTCACTTTTATTATCATTATCACGCCGTTATAATATATTCTTATTAACTATTTTGTCTATGTTGTGTGTTATTTTGTAGTTTTTTTTTTGTCGTTTTAATCTTTCAATTCGAGCACAAAAGTTCATTCGAGATTCTTCGAATGATCTACTTTTCTATTCATTTTTTTTCTTGGTCTATCTATCTATCTATCTATCATCTATCTTCTTTCTCTTCCCCCTTTTCCTATCTCTCTTTCTCTTAAGACTTATTCTACGTGTGTGTTCTCTCTATAGTCCACGGAACAAAATCCGTTTCGCGAAAGTCGCGTGATTGCGCAACGCGCCGATGGAGTTCACCGTCTGGAAGAGTATAGTTTATTATGTGTTATATGAGTTGTTTTTTTTAATTAAATCACTTTAGCGAATTGTTTACAATCGACGATAATGACGTTGCGTTTGATTCCAAGAGAAACAAGCCACCCCCACCCTCCACCCCACCCTCTCCCATCCCTTTATATTTTATCGGCAAATATTTACGCTCGAATTCGTAATGAAATCAAATTAAATATTGTTGATAAAGTTATGACAAAAAAAATAATGTAGAAATAAAAAAGAAAATTGTAGAAATAAAAATCTATGATATATATATTTGTTTTAATCGATTTTATTATTATTATTATTATTATTAGCATGGGGGCGTTATAAATAAGAAACGATTTAACCACGTGAGATTCAAGGCCAAAGTCGAATAAATTGATCAATTCGTTATTTCGATTAATCGTACGTTACGCGATATTTACCACCACCAAATCAGTCGACGATTTATCATCTCTTTCTTTCGAACGAGTTAAGATTACTTTTTTATTTAAGTAGATAATAATTTATCTTTTGCAATTAAAATAAAGAAATATTCGCTTCGATCTAATTCACGTTGAAACGCATATGCGATATGTGTGTGTGTGTGTGCATGCATGCGTGTAATGCGTGTATGCGTGCGCGTTTCGAAAGCGCGCCATTATTCGAATATATTATTTCAAATATTTGTTCGAGAAATCACAATGCTACATTTGAATTTAAATCAATCATATTAAACGTAAACACATTACGTTTGTTTTATTATATAAACATTTTGTAATGTAATCTCATTATCTTTCATTTCATTTTATTTTAATTTTCTTTGCTTATGAATAACAAAACAATATTGTGATTCATATAAAAATAATTTCGCGATAATTTTTAGACACAATAATCTTTATTAGCAATATATAGTGTGTGTGTGTAGAAGATAACGTACTGATTAAAGATTATAATGCAAAAATATCGATGAATTTGATCGATTAGATGATTAGAGATTTTTCTTTCGTCTTTTAACATTAGATTATTATATTCCGATGATCGAAGCTGGGTCATTTTGCAGTTGATATATGTGCACGTGCACGTGTGTGTTTGTGTACATGCGTGTAATAGTCTTATCGGTGATATTTCATCGTCTATCATTTCTATACGCTTCATTTAACCGATCGTTCATCAGACTCGGACCAATTCGCTTCCTCGTTGCGAAAATATTATCAATATGTTTAAATAAGTCAATTTTGTTTAAACACAAAAACTGCATGAACATATTATTATAAACCTAATCTAAAGTTTCCTGACAAAACTTTTTATTTTCTGTACAAATATTCACTTTACCCTTTTTATTTTTTATATATCTCTTATTTATTTTTTATATTTTCATTTAAATCAGAATAAAATGTAAAATGGGGATGCTAGATAATTATCGGATGGTTGATTGACAATGATGTCAGAGGGGGTTGGAAACAATTTTGATAAGATTTGTATGTTGTTTTCTTTGTATTATTCTCTCGTTGTTATTCGCTCGATCCCGTTGTTGCTTGTTTTCATTATTCCCGCGAAATTCTCTGATAGAGGAGTAAAAGAACAATGAGTGCACAGGAAACACAGCAACGGATCTTCCTGAGAAAATATTTACCCCCCTCGTTGCTTCCACATTCGGGACGCTTGCTTTTCTGAGAAGAGAGTACCGAAAAGGATCGTTTTACATAAAGCGGGACTATCCTTCCTCTCTTTTATCTCTTCTTCTTTTTTTTTTTTCCTCTTTATCCTACATGAGAAAATATTTACGTTCCAAAAGTGATATCGAGTGTCTCCATCTCTTTTCTTCTATTATTTTTGTCTTTTAAAACGAAATCCATCGTGGAACAAAAATTAGTTCGTATTTCGCGCCATTGTGAATGCACCTAACCCACGTGGGCTGGCAAATCGTTTTCATTGGTTCATTTGACAATGCGTTCGATTTATCGAATCTCGAATCATTTCGATTGTCTAATGATCGCTAACCAAATTTGAGAGTATCATTTACATTAATTAATGCGTGTGTATGTGTTCACAATTGTTTGATGATGACGTCATATAAAATTGATTTTAAATATTATTTGTAAGAGAGTAAAATTTCCAACATTTTCTCGATGACTTTTCTTTTTTGATTCAGTTACATATAGATATTTAAATGTATTTATACATGAATTCGTGTTGATTCATTCAGAGTTCGGTCATCGAGCCGAACAAAGGTCATCTATTTTATATTCTCGATGAAACAGCAGCAGAAGAAGAAGAATAAAAGAAAGAATGATATCGTGTTGTAATAAATTCGTAGTTTAACGTCGTATTTATTTCATGACTTTTGATCTTTCGAAAAAAAAAGAATTTCATTTAAATTTTAATCGAATATGTTAATTAAAATGAACATTAGAAAATTCTTTTATATTTGTTGTTTCATCGAAAAGATATAATGTAAGTTAATATATAGATACACATTTGAAAAAAAGAAATATATTTTTTATTATTAAGTTCAATCTTAGGGTCCCTAAATTGAAAATACAAAAATTAAATCCTTAAGATTGAACTTAATAATATTACAAAATTTTGGACAAGAAAATTTATTATATTAACATATTTTTTATTTTCCAAGATGTCTGCCATGTTGCCAATACTACTACTACTACTATTATTATTACTACACTACTATTATTATTATTTCTTTCTTACATTGAATACACGTGAACGTGAGTACAGAGTTAAAAGTAGCTCCCTTGGTTTTAGGAATCGTAGGCGTGAAAAATAGAATGTAGAAGGATTGGCGCCATCGTCATATTTCTTATCTTTTTTTCTTATTTTTCTTTTAGTCTTCCTTTTAGTCGTTATTTTCGTTTTTTTTCCCAGTGTATTCTTTTTCGACATCGTAAGAAGACGACGAGGTTTCTTGGTACCTACAGATGCGAACGAGTTTCTGAGATTCTAAAGATACTACTCCGTACTTTCCAGCAGCCCTGGCAGATGTTCATACACTCACACACATATACACACACACACATATACACACACACATTATTTCCTTTTTCTTGTACGATGATGGTCCACAAAGGGAAGAGAAGCGGACCCGGTGATCTTATTCATTGATGATGGGGGGACTCGAAAAAAGAAAGACTTTCTTTTCTGTTCAACTTTTCTTCTTTTTATTTATTTTTTTTCTTTTTAGATTTTTTTTTTGTAGCTTTGCTATTCAGGAAAAGAATGGATTATTTAGAATAATTCTTTTTATGTTCTTTTTTCTTTTATTGCATTGGAAGGAATAAAAATGTTTGAGGATATTCAACTTTGTTTTTGCTCATATCACAGACGATTTGAAAATTTGATATATAAACCGTTTATTAATTGTAATAATAATAATAATAATTGCATTATGGTGTGTGATTTGTAATGATATTATTTATTTTTAATATACTCTTGGTATATTATGATTATAAATCTAATGATTTATAATATACTTAATAGTATTTGTATTGATATGTAATAATTTATATTATAATACTGTACTATATATGATATTACTTATTCTTATCTAATGATTTATAATATACTTAATAGTATTTATATAGATATGTAATAATTTATATTATAATACTGTACTATATATATGA